AGTGAAAGTGGCATGCAATGTAGAGGGGAATTTCTGTTCCAGGGTGGGTTTGGTAAGACAGTGGAGCAAATGCTAGATGCAGATCAGGCCCCAGTGTGGGTTTGGTAAAACAATGATAGATGCAGAATGGGCCACAGTCTGGAGCCACCTTTGCTGTTTGGATTTAGACGGACTGACTGAGACTTTTGGAGCTGCGAGTTGGTTGAATGTGAAACCGCTGGGAGTGGAGGGAATCTGATGCAGGACCAGAAGTTCTGCTGCCTGCTTTCATGACTCTTTCTGTCTCCATGATGCTCTACAGGTATATCTGTCAATCAAGTGAATTTTACAAAGAGGGTGTAGCTCCCCAGTGCTCTCTTACCCAGAGGAAACTAAACCTGATAGCACTGCTCATGGAATTTCTCATTTCTCATTTGTAGGAAGTGCTTGCTGTTTGCTCAGCAATTATTCAGAGAGGGAACAATTATCTCCTAACTGAATTCTGGCATGTGGCCTTGGTTCAGCACAAACCTCGTAAATACAGACACTCCATCATTCTCTAACCGGTGTAATAGCCTATAGGGCGATCCTATAGCCCAAGGGAGAATGCAGAAAGCCTTTTAGTTATGCCCCTTCCAAGTTTGGCACACCTAGGAAAGACACTCTCTACTGTTCTCCTGCATTAGCCAGTGTAGTGGAGAGGTTAGAGTGTCATACTAGTCCCTTCTGTGGTGGAAAGTGGAGTTCTCCCTTGATGCCATTGTATTTCTGCAATGTCATTAAAATAAATGAGCCGTAACATGCACAGTCCATCTGGCCAGCCACATAAACCTGATAAGCCATTGGACCCATCCCCAGTTGAATTCATGTTCATTGGATTTGAACCATGACGCCTCTAACAAAACTGCTCTCGAGCCACAACTGTACAGATGTGGTGCTGAGTGAGAAGTCCTTTTTCCAGTGCAAATGAATTCACACCTGTGATTTCACTGAGGATTGGGTAAGCCAACTCCATGGAGATATTCCTGGGTGAAAGAGAATCCCAGGTATGCATGCCACCACAATGTTAAGGTGGTTTTTCATCAAGTTGGCAGCTAGTGTATTCCTATAGCTCTTGCAGTGTACCATGCTAAGATCCTCTGCTCTATGGAGCTCCTTTATGGGTATCCACAGTTTCTGCTAAAGTGGAATCAGCTCAGGCTTCCTTTCTTTGTGTGTTTCAAATTCCAACTTACTTTTCGAAGCAGGCTGTAGTTCCCTTTCATTGAAGACCTGGAGTGCTGCAGTTAAATTCTTTGGCAGTTTTACTACCGTTGTCACAACAGGATTCCCACATGTCATCTTGGAGAATCTTAGTAGATATGAAGTTAAAAAGCACTGGAGTAGCTTTACCATCCTTTGGATATCCTGAGCATTAGGCAGAAGACTTATGAACTGCTAAGGAAGCATGATCAGGATAGAATTAACCAAGATGCTATTTTTGGCCTCATAACTCTTCTCTTTCTGTAGCATCTTCAGACACCAAGGAGGAAGGTTTGGAAGCTCAAATCAACCGGTTAGCAGAGTTGATTGGAAGACTGGAAAACAAGGTAGGTGGTTCTTTTTAAGTGTTCTATTTTCATAGAACCCTCATTTAAAATGTAATTTGCATTCATCTATTTTCATAAATGCACACAGTGATTAAAAAATACAAACAGAAAGAGATAAAAATAAGCCATGTATAGCATAGTATAAAAAAACAGACTGAATGCATGAAGCGACCTCATACGGAATCAGATCACTGGTCCATCACAGTCAGTATTGAATACTTTGATTGGCAGTAGCTCTCCAGGATCTCAGGTGGAAGTCTTTCACATCACCTAAAACCTGATCCTGGAGATGCCAGGGACTGAACCTGGGACATTCTGCATTCCATGCAGATGCTCTGCCACTGAGCCACAGCCCCTCCCTAGCCTCTGGTCTGGTTTCAGTGACTCCTTTCCTCCAAATGAGGGGTCTTCTGTTCTCAGAAGAAAACTTCCTCCATCTGAGGGGTCCCTTGCTTACCAGAAAGGGGATCAGAAGATCCAGTGCTTATTATTTTGTCCCTTGATAATTCTACAAGAATAAGTTATGTCATGATTAACACCTTTTCATCAGATGTACACATGGTGTTACTTTTTCCTCTGGATATTAAGTTCATATATAGGATGCCAAAATGAAGCAGTGATAATTCCTGTAATTGCAAGTTAATGGATAAAGTAGCAATAATATTTAGAACCTGACAGGGGAATGAGGTGGCTATCTCTTCTTTCTTGCAAGACTGGGGGGAATGTGCAGATTTTTTAATAGGAACTCTGTTTGAAGAGGCACAAGAAAGAGAGAAGGAATCTCTCCGCTCACTTTTCTTCTCACTTGCCCAGGGCATTTTTTGTGGTGGCACCCGGCCTTTGGAATGGCCTCCTTTTGAGGATCATCTCTGGTGCCTATTTTACTGTCTTTTAGACACCAGGACAAAACTGTCTTTTTATGTGGGCTTTTGACTTGGGATTTTAACTGACAAACTTTCCAACTGTTTAATGGTCCTCTTCTGTCTGAGGTCTGTTTTATGGCCAATTTTGTGCTGCCTTTATGTCTTCGGGCTAGTTTTAGTGACTTGTTTGTTTTTTATATTTGATAATTTATTATTTTAATTGTAAACCACCTTGAGCAGGACTTGGGAGAGACAGCATAAAAATCTCCTAAATAAATGGACAGAGAAATAAAAACATTTTCTTGGAACTAAGCCCCATGGGATAAAATGGGACTTACTTCAGAGTATACCCACTTAGGATTGTTTCAGCAATCCTCGATGGCAGGGGTGGACAAACTGCAGCTCAGGAGCCATATGCGGCTCTTTCACAGAGTCTAATTTAATGTTAATAAAAAGCAAATTTGCATATATATTTTTTTAAATGTGTGTGTGATATTTGTCCATGTCTTGTGGCTCTCAAACATCTGGCATTTATTCTGTGTGGCTCTTATGTTAAGCAAGTTTGGCCACCCCTGCTCTATGGGGATGCCAGCCTTCAGCCTGGGGATCTCCCGGAGTTACAACTGATTTCCAGACTACAGAGATCAGTTCCCCTGGAGAAAATGGATGCTTTGGAGGGCAGACTGCATGGTATTATACCCCACTGAGGTCCATATCCTCCCCAGGCTCCACACCCTAAATCTCCAGGAATTTCCCAACCTGGAGATGGCAGCCCTGCACCCCACCCCCTGCCAGTGGCCAGGGTGGACATGGCAACCCTAGTCCTCTATCAAGGCTTGCAACATATTGATAGACTGATGGTTTAAAAGGCAATTTTGATTCAGGTTTATCCCAGAATTTCCGAAGTAGTTGTCCATGTAATCTTCCCCCATTAATACTGGATTTTTAATTAATTTTGATAGGCTTAGCAGCTGGGGGTTGTTGTTTTTTTTAAAAAAATTGAACCATTAGCATGTGACCTTCCAGAATGTCGGGATTTGTGCCGCAACATGAACGTTTAACATAAAATGAGAAACTGTAGGTAGCGCTTTGAAGAATGACAAGATACATGCTGAATAGGATTGGGAACCGTGGCATGGAAACGAAGGCCAGTGGGCGAGAGAGGAAATCTCTCTGTCATAATGCATCATGCCCTTGAATTCTAAAAAGCAAAAGGTGAGCGTGAAGGCCACAGGCGATGCAGAACTCTGAGCTCGAACTAAAAGCCATGAAAATAACATTATGCAAAGATGCGCCGTCAGTGGCAGAAGACCGTGAAATGCACAAGGCTGTTGCGAAGGCCCAGTGTGACGTGCTGAATTTTTTTAAAAAAGGAGAGTACATTCTCATACATTTGATTTCTGTAATGTGGATACACAAAAGAATAAGCACTGGGACATTTCTGCCGCTTTTTGGACTCATAAAATAGCATCAGATTTTACAAACAAATGTTGCTGTTCAATGTGGTGCTGTGCCATGGCTCTATATTGTTATGAGCCAGTTTGACTTTCACAGGACTGTCTTTTTGTTGGCCCCTGAATAAGCCTGCCTCCTCCATATACACTCTGTGTCACGGTGACAAGAAAACTGCAGAGGACTGTGCTTTGAGTCTTTTGTCTTGGACAGAACCATCGTCTATCTGACTTTCGCTGCCGAAGTTAGGGCAGACTATTAGAACCCAGAGTGTTTCTTTCCCAATAAGCCTGAGTCTGTCACGCCTAATAGCCACACTGGGGGCAGCCGGCACCAAGGTCGACTCAATGAACAGATTAAAATCATTTTGGGGGGGGAATTATAATAATTGGTTTTGTTAGTTTGTAGCCCCAATCTCTTCCCTCCCCTTCTGAAGTCTCTATAGAAAATCTCCACTGAATTCCACCAGTTCCTTTCCCTTTTAAGTGTACCCTAAGGGGATAATGAAATTGTGATTTATTGCACATACCAGAAATATGCTTTCCCTCAGTGGTATTCTAAAATCCATAATTTAAATGAGCCGTTTCAGCATTCTCTCCTTCCAGAGATTGGGTTTCCCCCTCTTAGGGCCAGTTTTGCTGGTTATTGAAATAAGACTTTTATGGATATCCCCGCAGTTGTGATGGATAATAAACCTACCAAGCGTAGCCTAGATTTGCTGTTGCACAGAAACAGACCTTGTTTCTGCTGCATAGACATTCTTCTGGCACAGACGTAAAATTCCTTCACCTTCATAGCTCACCTTACCCCTTGCTGTTGGCCCTGGAAGGAACAAGGCCACCTAGCTGGGGTGGCCAAGACCATGAATGGCTCGCCATCAAACCAAAGTGGACATTAAGGACAAAGAGCTCTCTAGGGAACAGCCGTAGACCTAACTGGCAAGCAACAAGGTTGAGTGCATGCTCCAGCAGCACGAGACCCAACAGAGTCCTGCTGGACGTCTGCAGGACCCACTTTTCCAGGGGCAAACCCAAGTCATAAGGTTCAGTTCTGGAGGCAGCAGGTCCAGCGGGGTTACCCCCTGTTGCATCGGAGCTCAGCAGGAGCTGGACTCTGCATCAGAGGATCATGGGAAGGCTGCTGCTCAGGAGCACCCGTTAGCCCTTGGGGGCTCCTCCCGTTCTTCTACAGGAGCCTTGTGCTGGGGGGGGCATCTCTTGAGGCTGTTTCATCATCATCATCATCATCATCATCATCATCATCATCATCTCCTCCACCACCACCCATCATCCTAGTTAATGCAGATCATAAAACTTCATCACTGATTTAACAGCTATGTATAATATAATCACATTTTATCACAACACAATCAAATCATTATAATAGTAACCCATGAATGGATTCTCAGTAGAACACATTATGGGACACCAGCACATTTCCTGACTTCTAATCTCCTCAGACCTCTGAAATGCACTAAGTTTTACCATACTAACTGGTTCATATACTTTTCAGCTGATTCCCCCCCTCCCCTGGAGTTCCTCTGAAATGCACTAAGTTTTACCATACTAACTGGTTCATATACTTTTCAGCTGATCCCCCCCCTCCCCTGGAGTTATTTGAGATTTCTAGAAGTGCGCATTAACAATTCCACCTGCAGTCAGTTGTCGGGGGCCAGAGGCTGCCCTGGACTCGACCTGGCTCTGGCCAAGCAAGCCATGCACATGCGGGGGGAGGAAACTCACCCTGTCCTGGAGAGCTGGGGTGGGGAGGACAGCCATGACCCTGATGATGGGGAGCTTCTATCTGGGTGTAGGTATTGGGCAGAGCTGGGCGGAGCTGATGACATTGACTGTGGTATCCAAGACATGATCACTGTGCTTGTGGCTGCCAATGATGTAGAAGAAGAAGAGAAGAGAAGAAGAGATTGGATTTATACCCTCAAACCCGGTTCTCCCAGATTAGAGTCCGCGCACTTAACCACTACACCAAACTGGCTCTCAATGTAAAAGGGAAATGTAGCCTCAGAGGCCAGGGAAGAAAGGCCTTGCAGGAGCCAGGCAGGGCAGGGGAGGCACAAGGCAGCCATAGCAGAGGCGGGGAACTCCACCTACCTGTCTGCAAGGGCAGCCGGTGAAGGACTGCACTCACCACACTGTGGTGGCAGGAGGGGGGCAAAGGCCAGAAGCCGGGCTGAGCCCAGAGACTGGATTGGAAAGGGGCAGGCAGCCCTCCTGAGCCACACAGAGACAGATAGGGGGAAGGAGGATTGGCAGCACAGGGAAGAGGTGGGTGAGACTTTCTTTTCTTTTCTGCCCTCCAGGGAAGAGTGCGAGGACATGGGATTGGGTTCAGACCGAGTAGGAGTGGGACCAGGAAAGGCCATGAAAAGGAAACTTTCACACCTGACTGGGGAGAAAAGATGACCTGAGCTCTGGGAGAGGGGAGAGAGAGAAAGAGAGAGAGAGGGGTGGGACCAGGAAAGGCCTGAGCTCTGGGAGAGGGGAGAGAGAGAGCGCCAGAGAGAGCAAGTCCAGGGAAGGAAGAGGACCAGGGTGCCCTAACCCCCTCTCCTTCATAATTCTGAGTCCAGCAAGAAGGCCTCACACATTCTCCCAATGAAATGGCAACATGGCATGGAACCCACTTTGGGGATGGGGGAGCCTCACATCAATAAATTTAACATTA